TTTGTATTTTTCGTCGCCTTGGCTTTTTTTCTAATTTTAAACCTTTTTTTTTTTCCTCACTTCATCACATTTTTTCCTTATTTTTTCATTTTTATTCAATTTTTTCAGCGCTTAACAAAGCGCTTCTCTTTTCTATCTTTAACTGAGTGGGTGGCACATTTAATATTTTTGTTGTAAAAATACTTTTGTTAGTATATAACAATTGCCTAAAGCTTTTTGACTTTTTTGGAGAATAAATATATATTTTTGGATATTTTATAAATCTGATTTTTGATGTCTTTCTTTGTTTAGCCCTTTTTGGATAAATACTTCCTTTCTCTATTATTTCTGAATTTTTGAAATTCTGATGCTTATTTAATTTTTTTATGCTTATTTATATTTAGTTAAACATGTTCTGGTTTCTGTATTTTTCATTAATATTAAATTTCTGATTCTTTGTATTTTCTTTTTTAATTTTCTGATTTAGGTATGTATTTTTTGTTTATTGCTAAAATTCTGATTTTTGTATTTTTGTTATTACAAAATTCTGATTTGTATTTTTCTGTTTTAAGAATTCTGATTTGTATAATCTTCCATTTGTTGAAAATTTCTGATTTTTGTATTTTTTATTATTATTAATATTCTGATTTGTATTTTCTTTTTTAACCTTTGTTTTATCCATTTATTTCAGAAATTCTGATTTATGTATTTTCTTTGTTTTTTCTGTTACTTCTGATTTTTGTATTTTTGTTTTTTTTTCTAAATTTTAAAAATACATAAATCAGAATTTCTGTATTTAATAATGAATTTATCTTAAAATAAAAATTGTAATTACAATTTCAATTAATTTAGATAAAATTTTTATAAAATTCTCGCCAATTTTTTATTAAAAATATTAATTTGTTACGCATCAAAAACCAACTATTTTTATATTTCCTTTAAAATAAATTATTTAAATTAAAATAATTCTAAAAATAAAATTTAGAAAAAAAACAAAAATTATTTTAATAAAATAATTATTCAAATCCCCAATAAAAATAAAAATAAATTTTTTGTTATTGTCAACAACTTTTAACATTTTGTTTTTATTTTAAATCTTTTACTTTTTTTTGGTTTAACAATGTTTTTCATTTGTTTTAAAAACAGAATTTTATAATTCAGGTTTTGTTTCTAGTTTAGTTTTATTTATATAAAGTTTTGTGTATTTTTCTGTATTTTTCAAATTCTGATTTGTTTATTTTTATAGCTTTTGTTATTGTTATATATTATAGAACGAAAGAAAAAATACAAAAATTAGAAAATCAGAATATAGAAAATACAATCAGAATATGTGGAAAATACAAAATTCTGATTTTTGTATTTCTTTTATAATTCTGATTTTTGTATTTCTTTTATAATTCTGATTTTTGTATTTCTTTTATAATTCTGATTTTTGTATTTCTTTTATAATTCTGATTTTTGTATTTCTTTTATAATTCTGATTTTTGTATTTCTTTTATAATTCTGATTTTTGTATTTCTTTTATAATTCTGATTTTTGTATTTCTTTTATAATTCTGATTTTTGTATTTCTTTTATAATTCTGATTTTTGTATTTCTTTTATAATTCTGATTTTTGTATTTCTTTTATAATTCTGATTTTTGTATTTCTTTTATAATTCTGATTTTTGTATTTCTTTTATAATTCTGATTTTTGTATTTCTTTTATAATTCTGATTTTTGTATTTATTTTATAATTCTGATTTTTGTATTTCTTTTATAATTTTGATTTTTGTATTTCTTTTATAATTCTGATTTTTGTATTTCTTTTATAATTCTGATTTTTGTATTTCTTTTATAATTTTGATTTTTGTATTTCTTTTATAATTCTGATTTTTGTATTTCTTTTATAATTCTGATTTTTGTATTTCTTTTATAATTTTGATTTTTGTATTTCTTTTATAATTCTGATTTTTGTATTTCTTTTATAATTCTGATTTTTGTATTTCTTTTATAATTCTGATTTTTGTATTTCTTTTATAATTCTGATTTTTGTATTTCTTTTATAATTCTGATTTTTGTATTTATTTTATAATTCTGATTTTTGTATTTCTTTTATAATTTTGATTTTTGTATTTCTTTTATAATTCTGATTTTTGTATTTCTTTTATAATTCTGATTTTTGTATTTCTTTTATAATTCTGATTTTTGTATTTCTTTTATAATTCTGATTTTTGTATTTCTTTTATACATAATCCTGATGTGTTTTATTTCTGTATTTTATTTAATTGTATTTTTTCTATTTATTCTTTCCATATTTATTCTGATTTTTATTTAAAGCCATTTTTGTTTGTATTTTGAGAAAATTATTGTAATTATTTAAAAATAAATATATTTTGCTAAAGGCAATACCATAAAAGCTTTGAGGCTTTTTTTTGTTGTAACAGCTACTATTTACATTATCCTCTCTCTCTTTGTTTGTTGGCATTTTGCTCTCTCCCTTTTTTTTCAAAATAAAAAATTTTCAACTCAAATTTCTTCCATGCTTAATAAATTAAATGAAAAAAATGTTTTATTGATTTAGGGAATTAATTTAAATTTTTTATAAAAATTAAAATTGTTAAATTAATTTAATGAAGCACATTTATGTAGTGTTAAAAAATTTCAGTAATTATATTAATTAAACAAATTTGTATTTTTGTTAATTCTGATTTTTATTTAAATATGTATGTATTTTATTCTTTCTTCTGATATTATTCTTTATTAAATTCTGGTTTTTGTATTTTCTATTATTTTTGTATTTTAGCTGATTTATTTTTTATAATTCTGATTTATGTATTTTCGATTTTTTAATTTTCTGATTTTCCCTGTTTCCTTTTTATTTTATTCTGAATCTTTGTATTTTTCATTATTTTTGTAATTCTGATTTAGTTATTCTTTTTAATTCTGATCTTTGTATTTTTGTATTTTATTCTTTTAAAATTCTGATTTTTTATTTATTGTTTTTCTGATGTATTTTCTAAAACCTCATGACTTTTTTTCTAATTCCAATTTAAGAAAAAACACTTTTAAATAATTTATGTATTTTTTTATCAAAGATTAGAATAATTAATTATACCTATTTATTTTTTAAAATTTAATCCTATAATATTTTCTTTTATTTTTTTAGTTTATTTTTTCATTAATCATTTATTTGTTTCTTTTTTTAAATTTTCTTTTCATTTTTCCTTTTTTGGAGAAGAAATATTTATTTTTATGGAAACATTTTAAAATATGAGAAAAAAATATTTTTAAATTAAAATTTTGAATATTTATTTAGAATAATTTAAAATTAAAACAAAATTCTCAAAAATCCGCAAAATATTTCTGCAAAAAATTATCCGCAAAAATTTAAAAAATTATTATTCCTAATTTGCGTGTAAATATTAAAATGTCTCTAAATTTATTTTTAGCATTTTTCTCTTTTTCAAGCCTTTTCCTGTAAATATAAAAAAAGGAGTCAAATGCGGAAAAAAGCTTAAAATTAAAAGAATAAATGAGGAAATATTTGCTACTATTTTAATATATTTTTATGCATTTTTTTTTATTCAGTTTTTAATAGAAAATGTTGTGCAAAACGACGCTCATTTAAAGTATCTTTATGTTATTTACGAATAATTCTGATTTTTGTATTTTCCGTTTTTAATTAAAATTCTGATAATTGTATTTTTCTTTATTTTCAGAATTTTTAAAGCAAAGGAAAAATACAAAAACAGAATATCCTTAAAATAATTCTGTTTTTTCTAATAAAATACATTTATTATGCCTATATTCTGTTTTTGTATTTTTCTGTTTTTAATTAAAATTCTGATTTTTGTATGTTCTTATTTTTATCCTTTGTATTTTAGTTTCTTTTAAGCTCAATTTATTTAAAATTTATTTATTTTTAAAATTTATTTTCTCACACTTACTATTTATGTTAGCAATTAGAATTTTTTCATAAATTTAGAAATTTATTTTAATTGTTAAATATTTAAATAATTTATGTGCAAAAATTTTTTCTTTAATTTTTTAATTTTATTTTTAAAATTTTTTAGTAAAAAAGTACAATAGTAGACACATGGATAGACACAAAAGTGTGTTAAGAGAACTTCTAAAATATAAAAAAATAAATAAAATTCCCAATAGATTTAATTTCCAAAAATGTAAATTTATACTAATTGATACCCTTTATAATTTATTTAAATAGAAAATCTAAACACATCTGTTTTTTTATTGTCCTTTTTTAATTTAAATTTTAATTTAATTATACTTTATTTTTTTATTTAAAGTATTTGTTAATTTTAAATTATTCCATCTTTTGCCTAAATTGAAAAAAATCAGACCTCAGCAACACACTTTTTTACACGCACCTTAAGGTATTTTTGGCTGACCATTTTGTACTTATTTTAGATATCAAAATCAAACCCTCATTGCAACATACAATTATTTAAACCCTAACCTTCTACAAAATAATTAAGTCCGTCTTTATTTCGAATAAATACTCTTTAATAATTGAATAAATTATATGTGTACTTCTAAGTACTTTGAAAAATCGGCACAGAACTTAACAAAAAATTTCAAACTCGACTAGCCCCCCTCCAACAATCTCTTCTATAAATAAATAAACAAAAAATATATTTATTTAATTAGGCAATCCACTATATATCTACGTCCTATTCCTCCAATCCATTTACATTAATTAGATGGACTATGAGGGTAACTAATTTTATTTTTTATAAAAATAGTCAAATTCATTGAAGCGAATTGAATTTAAACAAAAACAAAAATAAATTTAATTTTTATTTAAAAGTTGACAAAAAAATAAATCCCTCCAACCTTCCCATCTACTTTTGTTAATTATGTAGATGGGATTATATTTTAACAAAAAATTCACAATTTATCTTAAAATATTTTGAATTTATATTTTAAATTTTATTTAAAATTAATTTTTAGATTAAAAAAATATTTTTTCAATTCCTATATTTAAAATAAAATAAACTACCAAATTTTATTATTCTAAATAATGTCTGGATTCTGTACAGATTTGGATGAAGAAAGTGTTAAGCAGTCTCAAATATATTATACAGAGGTATTAAATTTAAATAAAAAATAAGAATGAATAAAGAAAATAATTAAAAATAATTTTATTATTTTCTTTATTACTCAAAATAATTTTAAAATTAATTTAAAAAATATTTTTTTCAATTTCAAGTTATTATCCTCCCTCTCGGAACGTTATGACTCTTTTCATAAAATAATTTATCAAACAATTTGTATTTTGGGGGTTATTGCAAATATTTGTGTTGTTGTTGTTTTATTAAGGTATTTAAAAATATTCTGATTGCTTAATTATTATAATTAATTAATTTATTTATTTGAAGGCCTACAATGAGAAAAAACCCGTTCAACCTTTTTCTGATCGGTATTGCAATTTGTGATATGTCGCTTATGGCTTCCTATTTTATTTACAAACAAGTAAAAGTTTATTTTAAATTCTGATTTTTAAAAACTTTTTCAGAATTTTTGTCAGAATTTTATAGAAACAAATTAAACTTTGTTCAGAATTTGTTTTGAACATTGTTTTGGAACCAGAATTTAATAAAAACATTAAACAAAATTTAAAGTCAGAATTACCTAAAAGTTGTTTTGAGGCATTATCAGAATTAAACTTAAAGAATTTTTTTAAATCAGAATTTCTGTCAGAATTAAAAGATTAAACTTTGTTCAGAATTTGTTTCGAACATTGTTTGGAATCAGAATCTAATAAAAACATTAAACAAATTTTAGAATCAGAATTGTTTTAAACTTTTTCTGAAAATCAGAATTAAACTTAAAAACATGTTCTAAAATCAGAATTTTTTCAAAACAAATTCCAACAAACAAAACTTGTTTCATAGATTAAAACTTTATTGCTAAAACTTGTTTCGGAAATATTTATTAAATAATTTAATTTTGTTAAATTTCCAATTACTAAAAAAACTCAAAAAAATTTTCCCTAAATTTCTAATTAATTTTTAGATTGAACTTTGTCATCCACTTTATTTTACCTTTACTTGGATTGTGTTCACCTATTCTTATGCTCTTTTTTCGGTTTTATTTCACTCTGCTTCTCTTTGGATTACTGTTAATATGGCTGTTTTAAGGTGAATTAATTTAAAATTTTACAAAAATAATTAACAAAAAATATATTTTTAAAGGTATCTTGTGTTAAAAAGCAGCTCAAATTCGTCGAGAAATTGGCCTCGTTTAAATACTTATAAGGCTGCATCTTTTTCAATTGTTGCTGCGATATTAATAGCAGCTGTTGGTTCCGCGCCTAATATGCTTAGATATCAGGTAAAACATAAAACTTATTTCAAATCAGAGTTTTATTTAAACATTTCTCAAATCAGAATTTTAATTAAACATTTTAAAATCAGAATTTTAATTAAACATACCAGAAATCAACCTAAAATAAACTTGTCTTGAATCAGAATTTAATTAAAACATTTAAATTATCCTTTAATAAAACACCAAATAAAATCTTAATTTTTATATCAGAATTTTAATTAAACTTTACTTGTTTTAGAAAGAAATCTGAATTAAAATCAGAAACTTCATAAATGAAAATTGTTTTTAAGACGCTTTCTATTAAATATGTTTTTATTGTTTAGATATTTTACAAGGGTGAATTACCCGCACCCGATGTTTGCAAGGCTAATGGTTCAAAGTTTGCCTCGTTTTACGAAAAACCTGATTCTGTATGTTCCTTAAATAAAATCAGAATTTATATGTGTCTCTTAATTTCAGAATGTATCTGCCTATATTTTAGCTCAACCAAGTTTTTGGAATTGTACTTGGGAGCGTTTTAGCTTTTGGATAGCTGGTAAATATTTAAATTAAAAAATATTTTTAATTAAAATATAAATTAATTAGGTCTTCTTCTAAAATTAGTGCCTTGCCTTTTATTAACTATTTTTATGACTTTACTTGTTCGAATGCTTGTTGAAGCACGTGAGAGAAGGTATTTGCGGGATATAATGCTTCATTTATTTTAAAAAATTAATTTAGAAATCGCCTCCATAGTGGGAAACAATCAACACTTTCTTCTTTACCAACCCAAACTAATAATGGAAGAGACAAATCCGTTGGAAATGAAAAGGGTGCTTCGGGTAGTGGAAATTCTTCCAAAGTGCAAGCTGAGAGAACAACAGCAATGTTGACTGTAAGTTGCCGATTTTCTCTTCTTTTGGACTTTTTTGCTTATTAAAACAATTTTGATTCAATTTTTTGCTTCAATTCATTAATTTTCTAAAAGTCACTTTAATTAATTTTTTAGATAATTGTTGCCGTTTTTCTCATTACCGAACTTCCACAAGGCATACTTGTTATTTGGATGGGTATTAAACCACAAGTAAAAAATAATTTTAAAAAACTCCTAAAAACAAAATTAAAGGTTCGCTTTGCAATGGCACAATTATCAAATATTCTAGATTTTCTTTCTTTGCTTAATTCTTCTGTTAATTTTTTACTTTATGCTACAATGTCCAATTTGTTTAGACACGAATTTTTACAGACTGTGAGAGAAAAAGAAAAATTTTTTTAATTTTCAAAATAATTTTTAAGTTTGGTCAATGCTGCCCCAAACGATTTTTTTCGTTATTTAATTCAAAGAAAAAACGTGGGGGCTCTACTGACAGATCTTCAATTCCTAATATTAATAATAAAAGTGGTGGGCGTAATAATGCTGCACATCGTGAAATACAAACAATGGCAATAAAATTAGTGAGGAAATATTTGTTTTTTTAAATTCTGAAAATGTTTTTATTAAATTCTGAAAATGTTTTTATAAATTAAAACATCTTCAGATTTGCAAATAAATCAGAAAAACATCAAAAATACAGGGGAAACAATTTTAGAAAAATCAGAAAAACAAAACATTAATTAAGCAAACAAATATTCTGAAATTTCAGAACATTTAAAACATGGGTAAAAATTGTATAGATTTCAGAAACAACTCTATGAAATTCTGATCTATAAATTTTGAAACATGTCAGAATTTTTCTGAAACATGTCAAAATTTTCAGAAAAACAATAAAAACACATGGGAAACAATTATCTATTTAAAGTAACAATTCTGAAATACAGATTTACTATTTAATTTCTTAATAAAATTGTTTTTTATAAAAATAAAATTTAAGGAATCACCCCCTTCCTCTTCTGGATCTGATGAAAGGTTAAATTCAGAACAAGAGAATCGAAGCGTAATTATCAACAATAATGTGAGAAATAATAATGTTTCTTCAAAATTATCTTTAGCTGGACAGGAAATAACAAGAATAGCACAAAAAAGCATTAATTGTATTTCATTAATATTTTTATATAATTTATTAAAAAAATATTTTTATTTAAAGATGCTTTTTCTTCTAATAATTTTTCTAATGGAGGAAATAAACAAAGAAAAATTTTAGTTACTTTAGACAGGGGAGATGATTCAACAACTTTACAATTTCAACAACAACCTTTAAATAACAACAACAACAAAACTTCCAACAATGTTTTACCGACGGTAAACATTTCATATTAACATATGTTTATCCGAACATGTTTATAAACATTTACAAACATGTTTATTTATTATTCTGAAAATGTTTTGAATGTTTAATTCTGAATAATTTAATTCTGTTTTACTTTAATTCTGAACAAGTTTTATTATTGTTTAAATTTTGTTCTGAAATTAGTCAGAACTTGTTATTATTCTGAACAATTCTAATTTTAACCAAACAAGTTTAATTTAATCAGAAAAACATTAAATAAAAACATTTCTAGTTAAGACACAAACAACAAAAGAAACAATTTGACGAATCAGAATTATCCTTCAAATTAATAGTAAAATAAGAAGCGCAAAATATATTTATTCAATTAAATTTAAAGAAATGATTCGATCCTCAATTTAATATTTTTTTATTTTGCTCAATTTCTATTATTTTTTTTTTCTAGTTTATTAAAAAATTTTTTGAAAATTATTATTTTTCTGCCAATGTCACAAATACATGTAGTAACAAATAAAAATCATAGCATTTTTTAACTACAGAAATTGCCCATATTTGTATTGGAATTTGTGTTGCAAAAGCTACAACCTTTAATTTAACTTTATTTTATTTTTTAATAGTTTATTTTCCAACCAGAAGCAAATCGGTTATCTCCAAGCTAGTAACTGGCCATTCAATAGCCAAGGCTATAGTGTATCTAACGAATTTATATTCTAATTTTTTTAATGTTAAAAAATTAAATTGATATTTAAATGTTAGTCAAAAATTTAATTCAAATTTTTTTATTTTGCTTACATTATAAAGAAAATTATGTTGAAGGTAAGCGATGCAATGTCAAATCGCCAATGAACTTTTTTTATTAAAATAAATAAAAACAATTAAAAATATAAAATATACTTTTAATGTAAATACGTTCAAAAGTAAGAAGACCATAAATTAGTAATAAAGCCATTATTAATGTAAGAATAGCAAATAAGGCAAAAATGTATAGCGTTGCTTGGTGCTTCACCTATTAATTATTTTCTTTTAGTAAAAACTTGAAACTTTTTGGTTTTTAAAGGAAGTTTAATGATTAATTTTCTTACTAGATAACAAGATTTAATATGTAAATGTTTTAATTTTATTTTGATTTTGTTTTGATTTTGTTTTGATTATATTCTGATTTTGTTATTCTGATTTTGTTTTGATTATATTCTAATTTTGTTCTGTTTTTGTTCTGATTTTGTTCTGATTTTATTCTGATTTTGTTCTGATTTTGTTTTGATTTTATTCTGATTTTGTTCTGATTTTATTCTGATTTTGTTCTGATTTTGTTCTGATTTTGTTCTGATTTTGTTTTGATTTTATTCTGATTTTGTTCTGATTTTGTTCTGATTTTGTTCTGATTTTGTTTTGATTTTATTCTGATTTTGTTCTGATTTTGTGTTGATTTTATTCTGATTTTGTTCTGATTTTATTCTGATTTTGTTCTCATTTTGTTCTGATTTTATTCTGATTTTGTTCTGATTTTATTCTGATTTTGTTCTGATTTTGTTCAGTCCAGTTTTGTTTTACCTATTGTCATGTCTTAATTATCAAGCTTTCGAATCTATGTAGATTTTAATTTTTCATAATTAATATTTATTTACAATTTTATTATAGTTCAACTCTGTTTTATCTAATTTAGTCCAAAACTTAAAACATCCATTGTCATATAAATGAAATAAAATTGTAATTAAAACAAGCAAAACATAAAATATTTCGAGAATTGCAACAAAATGACATCCTGTTCGAACCTTAATTTTAATTAAAAAATGAATAATTTTTAAAAAACCAAGCAAGATGAAAGGCAACAAAGTGGTTCCATTGTCAGATAGCGTGGTTGAATTCTGAAACGATTTATTAAAATGTTTTAATTTTATTCTGATTTTTATTATTTAAATATTGTCATGTTTTTCTGATTTAATTTGAACATGCTTATTTTTGACACAATTTCACATGTTTTAATAAAATTCTGATTTTCTAGAAAAACTTCAACAAACTTTTCTCTCATAGTCTGCTTTCTAACCGCACTAATATTGCTTCCCCTTCTGCTTCTCCTTCTGTAGATACGGCTAATTAATAAATTTATTTTTTTCTTTTTATCTTCAATCCATTCATTTAAATTATTCTCATCTGTCTGATTTGCTGATTTTTCTGATTTAATGCTTGTTGTAGGTAAAATAATTTGAACAACAGACTTTCGTTTGTTGGAATTTTCATAGATTTCTTTTTCCATTTTCTTTTAATTTATTAAAAACAAATCAAAAGAAACTACCGTATTTTCTCGATTAATTCCCCTCCCTCGAATAATTCCCCCTCTAGATTAATTCCCCATGCTAGAGTTGGGTTGAAACAATAATTCCCCAACCCAAGCACGTTCAAATGCCAAAACTCAAATAATTCCCCTCCCTCGATTAATTCCCCATACCAAGGAAGGGTTGAAAAAATAATTCCCCAGGGGAATTAATCGAGAAATACGGTATAGCAATACCATTAATATCAATGAAAACGTTTAAAAAATTTTTTTCATGGCACACTTAGTATTAATCGGATTTCTCTTTTCCCTACTGGAATTTTTTTTATTTTTTAATGTTCCTTATAAATTTTTTATTAGATAATTTCTTTTCATGTTGCCATTTAAATGGATATAATTATGTAAGTCTCCAATGGATTTTTAAAATTTTCTTTTTTTCTTTAACTTTAGTAATTCTAATATCAAAGTAATATTTGTAAAAATATGTTAACAATTTCTATTCGGTATACTTGAAATTAGAGTAGCTCCCCGAGCCTTCGGGGCCGTAAGTGTCGGGGATTGGGGTTTGCCGGAGAGAGCATGTGGGTTTCGGGGTCGGGTGTACTAGTACTTGAAATGCTAAAGGAAAGAAGTTTAGTAGTTGCTTCAATTGACTCATAAATCTTCATTGGATTTATAAACTAGACCAGAGTCAAAATTTAAAAAAAAATTAATATTTATTTTGCCAAAAATAAAAAAAGGTATTAAAAAGCAAATTAAAATTTAAAAATTGCAAAGATTAACATGTAATAGGGTTGTTGTAATTAGTGAGATTAAGAGATGAGGTTATTGGGATTGCCCCAAAATGAGAAATTTGGAAAATACACCGGTAAAATGAAAAGAAAAATTTAAAAAATATTGAAAGCAGAAAATGTTGAAACTGAAAAAATAAAGAAAATTATAAAAGAAATAACAAGGAAATATTTTAAAGAAAAATTCGAGATTGGATAAAATAAAAAAAACTTTGCTTCAATTTTCAGAAAATAAAAAGTATTATTTAATTTTCGATAAAATTTGCTTCAAGTTTTATAAAATTTTGGTTATATTTTATTTATTAAAATTTTACTCAACTCGATTCTTTTAGAAAAATAAAAGATTGAAGCATCATAAATAGGGTTGCTATTTTCGAATCAGGCCGACGTTCGAGTCTTTTTCGGGTAAAAAATCGAAGCCCGATTCGATCTTTCGAACCGAAACGGGTCGGCACCGTAATCAAACTTTCAAGTAAAGAAGTATCAAAATTGAAACAAATTGTTTCGAAGCAATGTTTTAGATAAGCATTGGGATTAAATATTTAGAAAAGAGATTTAAAAAAATAATATTATTTATTTATTTATCATTGCCAAAAGGAAATGTAAGAGGTCCTTCACCTTTCCGACCAACTAAAAGGAAAGTGTCCATACCTCCATCAACGCCTTTTACCTAAAAATTTTTTTATTTTTTAAAATTAAAACTATCAACCTGAATATGATCTCTATGTTCAAAATCATATCGGTCAATTAGCAAATTTTTTGTGTGGGCAGAAACTTGGATTCGATTCTTTACTCCAGTCTTAATTTTTAAAAGTTTCAGTTTTACTTGCTTCAAGTTTAATTTTCTACCTGATACATTCTAGAAGCAATATTTACTGTATCCCCCCAAATATCATAATAAAGTTTGGTGGTCCCAATAACACCTTTAATTCAAATTAATTTTTAAACAAAATTTATTTATTGCCTGCAGTAACAGGGCCAATATTCAAACCAATTTTACATTCAAATTCGAAATTTAAGAGGTCTGGAAATTAATTTTTTGAGATAAAAAATAATTAATTTTTTAATTGCCTTGATTGAAGAAGGCTAATGCATTTTGTACAGCAATAGCAAATTCCATTAACTAAAAATAAACTTTAATTCAAAGTTGGAAAATAAAAAAGTTTTTTAAATTGTTTTTCTTCCCATTAAGTAGGGTTGGACCCCGAACGCTCGGGGGCGGGTGTGTCGGGGAACGGGGTTTTCCAATTGTTTCGGGGCGGGGTTCGGGTCGGGGGAGCAAAATATGGACGGGGTTCTGGTCGGAGCACGGGGTCGGGGCACAACTCTACTATTAAGTAATAAGTAAGTCTTAGAAAAAAAGTTTAGCAGAACTGAAGCAGAATTAGCAAAGTTTATTAAAAATAATAATTGCTAGCAAATTGAAAAATGCAGCGGTAGACATGGCGCAAAACTTGACACTGCGCAAAAAAAGAAACAGACACTGCGCAAAACTGTATGGACCCTAAGTTTGCGGTTAAAAATTTAAAGATTTCAAAAAATGAGATATTTTTGAAGCAAAAATGGAAATTGAGCAATTTTAAGAATCTAAACAATTTATAAAGCAAAAATAAAAATTAGAGAACCTTACGAAAAAAGTTTTAAAAAAATAATATAAAAATGAAATTTGCCTGATATAAATGCTCATAGGGATGTAGTGACAACCGTCTTCTATCAGGATTCAATCCAGAAGCAGCCATATAACAAGGACCTATTGTTTTAATTTTTTCAACTTGTGCAAATTCAGAACGGTCGAGTAATTCTTTTTTAGGGGAAAAAATAAAAAATTTTTCTAAATTTATTTTTACCATCAAAATCCCCAATAACTTCATTTAATACTCTAATAAATTCACGACCACCCTCATATGTTTCTTCATACATTTCATGCCAATTAGTGATTGAAGCAAACATTACTAGAAAAGGATTGAATTTTAAATAGAAATTTTGATTAACTAAAATCCAGAAAAAATATTTCCAGAAACAAAACACATTTTTGTTTCTGGTAGGTTTCTCTATTAGTTTTAGGATGGGTTTTCAGAAAATTTATAATAGAGCTTTCCGGAAGGTTTTAAATAATATTTATTTTACTACTCCTTATGGTAATTATAATTAGAGATCAGAACAAGACGAGATCTCGAAAAAAATCACGGTTATCGAGATCGAAATTTTTCGGGATCTCGATTCTCGTACGACACTCCAAGTCTTTAATTATAATCCTTCACAAAAGCAGGCGCACTTGGATTTTTAGGAGCAGTGAATAGAGTAATCATTTCTTGAGGGAAAATACCTATGTATCAATAACGCGTTTAAAAGATATTCGATTTTTACACTTTCAGATATTCTTAACAAAAACAAAATATTAAATTTTTATTTATTCACCTGCCGTCAATTTGTGATTTTCACTATATTTTGTATTTGTTTTGAGTGATTCAACAGCATGTGGGGGAATTCTTTAAAAATATTTTTTATACATCTCCGTTTAATATAAAAACATACATATTATTAAGAAGCCAATCAGCCTGATCTCTAACTAATTGCATTTTGGCAGTATCTCTACGCGCCTGTACGTCTCCATAGAAAGACATACGAAAGGCTGCTTCAAACTGGAAAAATGACAAATATTTTAGAATAAAAATTATTAAGAAGTTGAGATAGTTTATAATTTCATCCAAAGACCCTTAATCTATCATGTCTAATTGAAGTAAAAAAAATTAATTGAATTTATTAAATATGAAGGAAATAAGGATTTTTTGAAAATCCAAATTTAAATTAATAAGAGGCAAAGCAATGCCTTGAGGAAAGAGTATGAGGTTAATAAAGGCAGTTAATGTACTATACTTAATTTCCGTGCCTGTTACCTTTAATTATAAAATTTAATTGGGAGGGAAAACCGTAATAATTTAAAAAAATATTAAAAGTATAGGCAAATCTTAACACAATTATGAGAATGTAATAATCGGGGTTCGGGCAATCAGACTCATTCTTGATGTTCTATCCTCTTATCAAATTATGAATTTAATAAAAAAATTATTTTGCCTGATAATTAAGAAAAGCAACTAAAACAACAGCCAAAACAACATCCAAAACCAATTCCCATAAAAACAAAGGAGATCCAAAATTTCCAGCAGACCAAATAGGCTGTTGGGAAGTATTGCAAGGCAATGGGTGGGGTTGGATACTGTCATGGAAATATATTGAGGAAGAGGAATTTGAATTTTTGGAGGCTTCGATTAATGAATGGAAGGGGGATAATGATGTAGAATCTGCTCCGAAAGAGCGGATAAAGTCTAATTGGTGTTGACAAAACCTGTTGGGAATTTTTTAAAGTTTATTTAGGAAATTAAAAGAAAAAAATATTTTAAATTTACCAGGTACTTAATAAAAATACAAGTGCTACAGCCAATGCTTGCCCTGTCTTTGGCCAAGCACCGAGTTGACTGAAAATATTTTTAAAAAATAATATAATTTTAATTTTCCATTCAAATTTTATTCTTTTAAAAACAATTGAATTTGCTTTTTTTTAATTCAATTCCAAGGGTGCTTGCAAATTTTGAAGGGCAAAATTTTATTATAAAAGTTGGAGAGAGAGGGACGTAACGTCAGATCTCCTTCGTTTGATTCACACTTAATTCCACCCTCAGCTTAAATGTAACTCCTACATTGAATAGTGTTATTTTTGTCCTCGACAAAATCGACAAGTCATGGACATGCACTCTGTTCCAAAATTATAACCGCATCCCTATTTCTCAATATTTCATGCGCAATCAATTTTTCTAAAATTTTTTGGTAACCTTATAGGGCCGAGAACTACTTGACCAGGATGAATACCGAGGGATAAACAATATCTAATACTGAAATGGATTTTTAATAATAAAAAGGGAGGGAAAGGCTTTGAAAATTAAATTTTTTAACTAGAAAATACCCAAAAAATTATAATTTAAAATTTTTACCTAAAATTGCAGTGAGTGTATAAAGCCAATAACAATACATAAGAATAAAGTAAACGAAGAACTAATTGACCAGGATGAATACAAATAATTGGAACTTTTGGAGGTGGATAATAATAAATTATTTTATCCAAACATAGAGGAATATTAAATAAAGCAACGCCGACAGGCAAAGCAATTAATAATGCACCTTTAATTAATTTAATAGAAAAAATATTTTTTAATTATTTTATTACCCAAAACATGTCTCGGACCCCATTGATGAAGCCATGGAAGGATTGGCCGCCGACTGAGTAAAGGTAAACCAACAAGTATAATTACAGCTAAAATACAAATATTTAATTAATTAATTAAATTGTACTTTTAAAAATTAAAAATCAGAAAACAACAGAACAAGAAAAATCAGAATTATTAAATAAAAACGTAAGAGAAATAACAGAATATGGACAACAAACAACCAAAAAAATTAGAAACCCTGAATTGAAAATAACAGAAGAAAATACAAAAATACCTAGGAATTCAGGATGAACTAATAGAAAACTAAATCAGAATTTTAAAATAAAAATCAGAACTATCCATGAAAACACAAGAAAACACAAAATTAAATAATCAACATTAAACAAACAACATAAAAAAACCAGAATTATTACACACACACAGAAAAAAGCAAAACACAAAACCCTTAATAAAAAATACAATTTAAACATCAGAATTATTAAAAACAACTATGTAGTTATGAAATCAGAATTATTTAAATAAATAATAATTTATGTAACTAAATTGCCAAAATAAAAAATTAAAAAATTTTTTTTTAATTTTCCAAAATAAATTATTTACCAGTTAGAAATATTGCTGCCACCGAGATATAAACCAAAAAATGAGGGGATAATTCAATTCCAGGCTGTACCAAAAACAAAATTGCACACACAACAAAAGAAAATGCGGAAACAAAAATATCAATAAAAACACCAGAATAACGATAACGGGGGCGGTGACGGTGGGGAATATTAATTAATAATTGTTGTTGGGGTTTTGTTTTGTTGTTAATGTTATTTTTATTGTTTTGACGGGGTTGTTGGGAAAGTGCTGCTGTAACACTATGTCCACCACCACCAATATTTTGTAATTGTGTGGATAACTTTAAAAAATGATTTTTTAAAATTAAAAATCAGAATTTTATTTTACTTGTCTATGCTTCTCAATGCCCGTAGCTGCATTACGCGCACTAGAGTGCTTCTCAGAAGAGTCACCAGCCGCAAAATGGGCACGATATTCAGCCTCGATGTCTCTTTGGTTAAAATTTAGAGTCCATCGGTTTAATGACTTAAAATTAATTTTAAAAATTTTTTTATTAAAATTAATATTAAAAACACTTTAAAAATCATCAAAAAAGGTTGAAAATATTAGAATAAAAAGTATATGTATATTTCTAAAAAATCAAAAAATAATCTTCTCTTTTCCCGCTACACACAGAAATTTAAAATTGGGATAAAAATAGAACCAAGGTGTGAAAAACAAAGGCTAGGTTTCCCCAGCAAGGACTGGAATTGACTGGATGAGATGGATGAGAAAAAAAATGGATGAGCTTTCGTAAAGTCTATTGAAGGTTCGATATAATCAACCCTCCCACTATCTCCTATTTAAAAAATCTGTCTTTCCCCACCTCTTGATGCATCCAAAACCCTTTGGCAAATGACCCATCTGCTGTGTGAATGACTTGTGCTAAACGCTGATCAAAATCCCGATGGTCTGTATCAAATCTGGTAAGTGAAGCTGCGTTGTGATGATGTGATATTGCTGTATCTAATCCAGCGAGGGAAGTGGTTGAGTGCCCACCAATTTCAGAACCAAGTTCCTTTAATTATTAAATATTTAATGTCTGTTATTTTTTTAAAATCGCTAATAATGACCCTAAGACGATTTAAATATGTAAATATTCAAAAAACACCTGTAATCCCGAACTTCTTGACCCCCTTCCACTATTATTTGCACTACTCTCATTTGCAAGATCTGCAGATATTTTACCACCTATACGTTCTGCTGTGCGCCAATCAACATAACTATTAGTTTTTGATTTATCTTCTTGCTTAGATTGATGCTAAAAAATGAATGAATAAAGGATGAAAGGAATTTCCCAGGGGTTTTTTTCGATTCCCAATCTCTTCAAGTTAGAAATCCACAAATTTGTGATTTAAACTGTAGATGCCAAACTTTACAAAGAAAAGCAATTAAAGTTTGATTTTGGCTGTATTTTTAAGAGGAAACACGTTATACTCCCCCAGCTAGAAGGAAGGATTCACCCACAATAATTTATAAATACTCACAATTTTCTCATCTCCACCACCATTTTCTTTCAATTCTTTAGCAATTTTTTCCTTTCTAATACCCTCTGATAAATCACTTTCACTTGTTTTATTAGGAGGTGGGGTGCCTCCAATAATACTGCGTGCAATTTTACTGGAAGGAGTATTTGACGGTGGAAGTATTCCATCCCCGTGAGTTAACATTTGTAAAGAGGTTGATTTACGTGTATCATCAACAAGACGAGTCTTTAAATTAAAAAATAAATTGAAGGAAATTTTGATAAAAATGTAAAGTGAATTCTAGCAGGAAAGGCTAAAGGGCACTTTGATTCATCCTTCCATTATTGTTACTTTCCCATTAAACATATTTGTGTTCAATGGGATTCTTCCCATTAGATAGAGTTAGGCCTAACATTTATATGTATTATAGCGGTAACATCTATGCTTCAGCAAGCTTGAGGACCCCTCAGAGCTTTACTGATTAAGGTGAAAGGTATCCCGGACTTAAATCTTATAAAATACTCCAAATAGAAAGGCCCATGCCAGCATAAAAAGCGAATTTTAGAAATACATATACCCATAAAAACAAACAAAAAATAATTTGTAAATTATTTTTTAAAATAATTTACACCTGCATTTGTTGTTGTTTATGCATTTTCTGCTTCCCCAAAGCCCCAATACTTTCATCTGTCGAAGATTCCCCAATACTAGTCAATACTTGTGCTGACCCAGTAGCGTTACTCGAAAGAAATTTATTAATATCTTTATCTTCTTTATTTAAAAATTGTGGATTCTGATTTTCTATTGAACGATCTAATAAACGCATTCGAAGGGAACCTCCACCTCCAAATGCGTGGAATGGGGTTATATTACTTCCCCCAATTAATTGTTGACTTGTTGTTGTGGTGGTGGTGCCTGCACGGGAAACTGGTGGTAAGGAATTTGTTTGGATTGTGCGGAGTTTGTCAACTAATTTCTGAAAATACAAAAATTACGGAAAATACAAAAATTACGGAAAATACAAAAATTACGGGAAATACAAAATTATTCTGATTTTCCGGAAAAATACAAAAATCACGGAAAATGTAAAAATTACGGAAAATACAAAAATTAAGGAAAATACAAAAATTACGGAAAATACAAAAATTAAGGAAAATACAAAAATTACGGAAAATACAAAAATTAAGGAAAATACAAAAATTACAGAAAATACGAAAATTAAGGAAAATACAAAATTCTGATTTAATTAAAAAGAATTCTGATTTGATTTCCGAAAAGAAAATACAAATATGTATTTCAGAAATAAAATAGGTATAATTCTGAAATTTAAAAACACATTATTCTGACTTTTCGGAAAAAATATTATTTTCCGGAAAATACATTTTCAGAATAAAATATTTAGAGACGTGTATAAGCAGAGAAAAAAACTTATATTCTGATTTTCCATAACAGAAATACATTTTCCCGTTCCGGAAATAAAACACAATTAAAAAATTAACACACGCTTCTTTTCAAGAAATAAAATACATTTATTTCTGATTTATATTCCCTCACCTTTCTAAAGCTAGCTTTGTAAACACCAGCTCCACTCTCTAAACTAGCAAGTCCCCCATCACCCCTTGCAGAATCAGAATCACCAGAAATTGTGTTTAGAAACTGACCACTAGCCGATTCAAATTCTTTAGAGCGGCCAGCAATAAAAAAAGTTTTCATTTCTTTGTGGGGAGCACCCTAAATAAAAATCAGAATTTTCAACCAAGAATTTATTTTTCAATTTACTTCTTCCAAAATATAAGCATCATCCAAATAGTCAGCAGTTTTTTCACTGATATGAACTCTGCCGGCAACCCCAGTAGATTCCATCTCGTTAGCAAGGGTTACATCGTTGGAAAATACATCGAATTTGAAACGGCGAGTGCCAACCATCCCACACATTACCTTTGAAAATAATAAAATTCTGATTCAATTCTGATTTTAAGAATCAGAATATTCTGTACCTTTCCAGTATGTATTCCAACCCTCATATTAACTGCTTGTCCTCTATCCAAATCAAACTGTCTAATAGCTATAATCATTGCCAACCCCATTTCAACACAACATTTGGCGTGGTCTGCCCTAGGCTCTGGGCAACCAGCAACACAATAATAACAATCTCCAAGTGTGCTAATCTTTTCCAAGCAACACCTCCCACACAAATAATCAAAACGGCCAAATAAATCATTTAATAAATTGACTAATTCATCGGCTGATTTATTCGAAGCCATTTTTGTGAAGCCTGCAATGTCAGCAAAAAGTATTGAAACATCACTCATTAAATTCATTGTAAAAGGGCGGAATTTTCGAACACCTAAAAAATGAAACAAAAAATTTTGAAGCAAAAAATAAATAAAAATGAAGCAAAAATGAAAGTTGAAGCAAAAAAATAATTTTATGTTCGAATCTCTTAAATTTTTTAAATACAGGGTGCGGCAAATTCGCGCCACTTTTTCTTTTTGTCATAACTTTCTTCAAAATTAATGAAAATTGATATTTCTTTTTTTGTTTTATTCCCAACACTTTAGGAAACTTGCTTTTACTAAATATTAAAAATTTGGTTAAATGTTGGCAAAGATAATCGAGTTCGAACGTCTGGAAAATTTAAAAACATTTTTTATGCCAAAGTTTAATTGATCATAACTTCGTTCTAAATCGTTCAATACCAATGATTTTGGTACTAAACGACTCATCTCGTTCAGGAGTATCGAAATAGCTTATAATCTTTTTTTTTGAAAATTTTACACAAAAATTTTATTTTTATCAAAATTATTTTAATTTATCATTCAGAGGACTGTATCTCATTCGATTTTTGTCGTAACCCCCTGATTTTTATGTCATTCGAATCAGAATGAAGAACTGATTCGAATGATATAAGTATTTCCAATATTAAAATCTCAGCCTTGAATCTAGGCCAATTTTTAGCAGGTAAGGCATAAAAATGCAGCAGGTAAGGCATAAAAATCAAGATTCCCTGTAAACCATGAAGAAAATTTAGAAGCAAATAAATTAACCAAAAATTAAAAAAAAATTTCTCAAAATGAAGCAGAACCTAAAAATATTGCTTACCACCCCCGGATGAAGATAATCTCCCATTTGGTCCAGGCATAAGACCTCCTCCACTTGTAGACTCCCCAGCTGCACTAGAACGCCCACCGCCACCAACTGTTGCATTTGAAGTTCGGCAATTTGAATGGGATTCTAATGAAGCAGATGGACGACGTAATTCGCTTGTTTCTTTTAACAGTTCATCGGCTACCTAGAAAAAAATAAAAATTAGAAAAGTGAAAAAAATATTTTTAAATAAAAAGGTGAAGCAAAACAAGAAAAATGAAGCAATTTCTCACCTTCTTAGGCATAACAGACTGAATCATATGATCTTTAAATTGTGTTTCCAATTCCAAATCTTTCCTTGCCAATAATGATTGTCCAACTTTGAGGAATGTTTTGCGTTGTCTAACTTGTGTGAGTATATAAAGGTGTATTCCAAGTAAATGAATACATAAATGAATTGCTGTTTTTGTTCCAGTTCGAAAATGAACAACACCTAATAAATAAACTTGAAGCAAATTTATTTTTAAAAAATTGAAACAAGTTTCTTTCTTAAATCTTAATTCAAAACTTGAAGCAAGTTTTAAAAAAATAGAAAAACCTAATAAAACTTGAAGCAAGCTTGCAAAAAATTTTTTTCTTAAAACTTGAAGCAAGTTTTGAAAAGAAAGTTTCAAGTTTAATAAAACATGAAACAAAGCTTTTAGATAAGAAGCAGGTTTATTTTCAAGATTAAAAAATTAATTTTTATAAAATTTTGCCTGTAGAAGTAGCAGGAGATGGAGCTGCTAACAGTTCAAAAAAGAATGAATAAAATCCACAAGAGATAATACAAAGATATAAGGGGAATGGAATGACTGCATAGACGAGTAGAATGACCTAAAAATATTTCAAAATTAAAAAAAATTTAAAAATGCCTGCATAGAAGTAGCCATACTAGCTATTGGCCCCATAAAAGTTTCGGCACTTGAACAAATAAACAAAGTTGTTAGACACAAAAGGAAGGTACACAGAAATGAAGTTGGTAGATAAAAACGGCGATAATGTGGTGAACATGAAGCAAACCATAACATTAAACCAAAAAGGAGACAGAGGAGGGAGGCGATTAACTATAATAATTTTTAAAATAAAACTTTGAATGACCTATTATAATGGAATAATTTTTATTTTTCGAAGCAAACATTGCTTCAAGTTCTTTTTAATATGAAGCAGATTCCCTATAAACCTGCTTCAAGGGGCTGCATAGCAAATTATAAGGTGGAAGCAAGTTTAACGAGAAAATTATCTCAACTTATAATATGCTTTTGCTTACAACTTGCTTCAAGTGTAAAAACAAAGCAGAATATTGGAAGCATTTGCTTCAGGTTGTTTAGAATCAAAAGTATCATGAAGTAGGTTTTAGGACAAGTTTGCTTCAAATTTGAATAATAGAGAATTCAAGTTTGAATAATAATTCAAGTTTGAAGTTTGAATAATAATAATTTGCTTCATGTTAAAAAGAATTTGAAGCAATGTCTGCTTCGAAAAATAAAAATACAACATGAATAGTTCGGTTCGTACCCCCCTCCTTTTCCCTTCCTAAAAGTATTAAAAAATGGTCAGTCAGACTTAGGTTATAGAACTCGCCGAGCTGTGTCGAATGACACCAAAAACAACCACAGGTCTTATCTTTGGGCCGAGATACAGACCTCCGAAAATTGAAGAATAAAGGGGTGTATCAGGCTCATTTTTTAAGCTAAAAGTTCAACTCGAAAAGTTCTCGAAAGAGCTTGTCGAATTGATTCGAATGACATCAAAATCAACATGATTGAACAAGATTTGATAAGGTTATAAGCAGTGCTTCGAAGCTCGTACCAAAATTCGTACTCGTACCTCGTACTCGTACCTGGTACGAAGTACGAGTACGAGCAAATTTGAAATTTCGAAGCACTGGTTATAAGTATGACATAAAGTATTACTATTGTAGTCGTGCGACGCTTTTGCAAAAACTTACTCTTTGCGAAGGGTTTTTGTCTGTATCTCGGCCCAAAGTTAAGATCTGGGTTTGATTTTGGAGTCTTTCGACACAGATCGACGAGTTCTATAAGCTAAGACTGACTGACCATTTTTTAATACTTTTGGGAAGGAAAAAAAGGGGGGGATACGAACCGAACTATTACCCAAGGCTTGCTTCAAATAAAAACTTGAAGCAAATTTTTATTTTAATATTCCCATTAATTTAATAAAATACCCAATGAAAAAGTTGTGTTTGATTAAATATCCAAAGAAATAATAACCAACTTAAACAACAAATAAGTATATATAAAAGTCCTGAACGGAATCGATCTCTCAGTAAAGGGAAAGAACACTTCCAATATTGAGTTTCTAATGTAGGTGAAGCAAATTGGGGATTCCACCTTTTTTAAAAAATTATTTTTTTTAAATAAAAAGACAAATAAACCATCTAGCTGAAGCTCTCTCAAATAATGGAATCCTCCGAGGGCTGGAAGAGCGTGCTCTAACCTGTTTTAATAATTATTTAAATTGTGAAACATTTTTAATTAAATCAAGTTTTAAAGGTGAAGCAAGTTTTTAATTAAAATTAAAATTCAAATTTTGCTTCGTGTTTTGAATAAAAGGATCCGTCTTCAATAATTGTGTTTCAAGTTTTTTAAATTAATGTTTTTTTTTTAATTTTAAAATGTGAAGCAAGTTTATTCTCTTCAAATTTAAGTTTCAGTAAATTTATTTCAATTTTTAAGTTTAAAAATAAAAATTGAAGCATCCTCCGAGGAGCTTCACTTATATTTTTTAAATTATATTTAAAGCTTCTAGTAAAGTTTCAAATAAAAGTCAATCTTTAATTTAAAAAAATAATTAAAGCAAATTGAACTGATTTTAAATAAAATATAAAAACATGAAGCAAATTTTAATTATGCTTCCAATATTTTTTTTCTCAAAATCGAAGCAATTACTCATCGATTTTTTAAATTTTTATTTTGCTTCACAATTCTATAAAAAAATTTTCAAAATCAAAACCTCAACACAGGCAGTGTTTCTACCACCACTAGACCCATTAGCTTGTAGCTGGGGAGGAAGAAATTCATTTTCCCCTTTAGAAGCATTTAATATAGCATTGGCCAATCGATTTTCGTCACGTTTTTCAAGCATTGCATCAGTTTCGATTGGCTCTACGGGGCTACTATTAGCTTCTTCTTTTACATTTTTTTCTTTTAATAATTTATTTTTATGAGATTTGGAACAGAGATGTTTCGAAACAAAAAAATCTTCGAAAATCGGAAATCGAAAATCGAAAGAAATCCAAAAATATCGAAATCGAAAATCGAAATATTTTTCAAAATCTTCGAAATCGAAAATCGAAAATCGAAAGAAAAATAACCTCGAAAAACGAAAATCGAAAAACGAAAATCGAAAAAAAATTTTTTAATAAAAAATTGGAAAATTATTTTTTGTTATGTTAGGTCTAAGTTGGAACTTTTGCTTGAACTCTAAGGAATTGGGGATATAGTAGTAGTCCCCTGATATAGTAAAGAACTAGGCCGATTTATTCATATGGTTGGGCGGTATCTGGCATAGGGTTCTGGCATGGGGGGAGGCTTCCAAATCCACCTTATTTCAAGCAAATCCTCCAATATACCGGAGCCGAAGCATAATATTGTTAATGGATCAGGGCTTCTTCAAACTAGCGCCGCAGGCGAAAATTTTGAGAATTTTGGAGGATCCTTAAGCCAAAACTCGTCCATTTTCTGCGCCGCAGGCATAAATTTTGAGAATTTTGGAGGATCCTTAAGCCAAAACTCGTCCATTTTCTGCGCCGCAGGCAAAAATTTTGAGAATTTTGGAGGATCCTTAAGCCAAAAATCTTCTTTTTTCTGCGCCGCAGGCGAAAATTTTTAAATTTATGATAACCGATAAGCCAGAATTCCTCATTTTTGGCGCCAAAAATTCAAATTTTTTCAAAAATTCGGAAATCGAAAATCGAAAATATCACAAAATTTCGAAAATCGGAAATCGAAAATCGAAAGGAAAAAAACCTCGAAAATCGAAAAACGAAAATCGAAAATCGAAATTTCGAAACATCTCTGATTTGGAAGCAGAAGCATCTCTTTGTAAAATTTTAGCTTCACTCATTATCAAAAATTTTAGAAAATAATTAAAAGAAAAGTGAAGATTCTGAATCTCATTTTAATTAAATTTAAGAGATTATACTGAAATAAAATATTAATTTAATATTATTTTGAAAATTATCAAGAAAAAACTAATAATTTCAAAATTTTTCTTCAGACACTGAATTTTCGCGTTGAAACAGCTTGTATATAAAATTTAGGGATTTAATTTATCAGAATTATTAAAATCAGAATTAAATTTGGATTAAAAAATTAGAAAAATAGTAGGTAATATCAGAATAAAATTAAAACAAATCAGAACAACATTAGGAAACAATTAAATTAAATTAGAAAAACATCAATATTTAAAATCAGAAATCATAATAAACATTAATAAAACCAGAATAAATTTACAACATAAACTAAACAAAAATCAGAATTAAATAAAGACATTTTCAGAATTAAATAAAAACATTTTCAGAATTTAATAAAAACATTTTCAGAATTTAATAAAAACAATCAGAATTTAATCTAAACATTTTCAGAATTAAATAAAAACAATCAGAATTTAATTTAAACATTTTCAGAATTTAATAAAACAATCAGAATTTAATCTAAACATTTTCAGAATTTAATAAAAACATTTTCAGAATTTAATAAAAACATTTTCAGAATTAAATAAAAACAATCAGAATTTAATAAAAACATTTTCAGAATTAACAAAAACATTTTCAGAATTTAATAAAAACAATCAGAATCTAATTTAAACAGAATCAATAAACATTCTCTTCTCTTAAAAATATGTTCGTCACTTCCTTTAACAAAAGAAAAAAAGCTTAAAAGAACACTAATTTCAAACAAACTTTAATAAAAACATTCTGACGGGTAATAAAACCACAAAAGAAAAGTACACTTCATTTAATTTTGTTTTCAACAAAATTTGAAAAAAAAAGAAATATATGTTTTGTTATAATTATAATTGTTATTTGTATATACATAGAGTATTTTTGGACACATGGCGCTAATGTAAATATAGAGGTTAAGCTAAGAAAAGAGAAAGAGAGGAGGTGTTTTAGTGTTGAACAAGAAGAAGAAGCCTTTTCTTTTTGAGGCTAGACAATATTGCGGACAAAAATTTGCAGAAAAATATTTGCGGGCAAAACTAAAAGCCTATTGAAATTCGTATATTATAATGGCCAGTGGATCTTGTCCATGTTTATTTAAAATTAATTAATTAAACAATTTGGGAACTCGTGTTTAAATACCCCGAAATTAGATAAACCTTAATTTTAGATACCGTATTTACTCGATTAATTCCCATGGGGAGTTATTTTTTCAATCCATCAGTGGCGTGGGGAATTATTCAAGGGAGGGGAGTTATTCGAGTATTGAAATTTGAACATGTAGTAGGGTATTTGGGGGAGGGGGACTTTGTTCAACTCATCTGTAGCAGGGGGAATATTCGAGGGAGGGGAGTTATTCGAGGGAGGGGAATTAACCGAGTAAATACGGTACATACCGTATTTACTCGATTAATTCCCCCGAGGAATTATTTTTTCAACCCATGCGTGGCATGGGGAATTATTAGGGGGTGGGGAATTATTCGAGTTTTGAAATTTGAACGTGTATTAGGGTATTTGGGGGTGGGGAATTATTTTTTCAATTCACCCCTGGCATGGGGAATTAATAGGGGGTGGGGAATTATTCGAGGGTGGGGAATTAATCGAGTAAATACGATATGTTTTTTAATTTGGGTTGGTCATTTGGAGGAGAATTTTGCTCAAACGCAATACCTTCAATTTAATATACTCCTAATTTTTAAAAACACTATTTCAGCCCCTTGGGGTAATAAAATCGAGGTAATCCGCAAATTTTCCGCAAATTTTCTACCAATTTTCAAAGCTTTTTCTCTTATTTCTAAAGCCAAATTGGAAAGAGAAAATTGGTGCAAAAACGGAAAGATAAAAAATAAAAGAAAGGAAGGAAGAGTAAAGCCAAAACAATTTTTATTTGTGCCATTCAAGGTTAAAAAACCCCCTAACACATTTAGCAGAACAAAAGGATTATTCTTAATTTAAATTTGAGTTATTTTTTGAATTACCCAAATATTTTTCTATTTAAAAATTTGCTTAAAAACTTTACTTTATTACAACATTTTTTCTTCTAAAGTTTTGGGTGTAAATATTTCAAAGAACATTTCAAGAATAAATAATGTGGAAAAATTTTAGAAAGCCGATCTTGGGTTAAACACCTCTAATAATTTTCAACATATACCTAATTTAATTTATATACCTCGTAAATTTATATTCTAATTATATATTCCTACAACACATTTTATTGTATAATACGTTCTCTAGATGTGGATTACCTCGTGGTTGAAGAGGGTAGGTAATGCCTAAGCTCTACGTTTAGTTAATGTGCAAATTTTTGGTATCAGTCAGAGTTTTAATTATATAATTTATTATTAACTGATAATTAAATACACGTACATAATACGGGTACAAACCTATGTACCACGAGCCCAATGTACAGCCGAGCTATAACTTTCTTTGAAATTGTCGAATCCGTGGGGCCCTGGTATAGTTCGATTCAGCTGGTTGAGCCGCATCGAACCATACAAGGGCGTCCCAGATTCGACAATTTTGAAGAAAGTTATAGCTCGGCGGTACATTGGACTCTCGATACACTGGCCTGCTCCCACATAATACATATTATCAATCCAAAAAATTAAATTATACATATTTTTATACTACTATTATGAAATTACAGTATTATTTTTTTACATTAAAAATTACTTTAATAGTTCCCAATTTAAGCTCTAAAAGATTTTAGATTTAAAAAAATTTATTTTACTTCTTAAAATTTAATCTTCCAATATATGTACATCTTCTCTCCTTCATTTTCTTTTAAATCCCATTCAATTACATTTTCCACCGACACAACTATGGCTACAACAAGGTCCTTTTCTACAATCCCCACCTTTTCCCAGACATTTTGTGCATTTACTTCTAAAGCAATAATAATTATCACCACAACAATTTGAAGCAACTATTGCATTTATATCACATGTACTTCTAGGTTTAAGACAATTCTGAGCTAATAAACCCTGAAATATAAACATAGTGACGAATAAATAACAAAATAATATTTTTTGGATGTTTCCAGTTGATTTGAAGTAGAACATTTTTAATTTTTTTTTTGAAATAATTCTATAAAAAATATAAATTTAAAAAGAAATAGGTAAAAGTTTGTGAGGTGAAGTATAGAAAAACGTTCGAATTGGCAGGAAATGTGTTATTTACTCAGATGATGGATAAGGTTGTCGGATAGTTAGAAATCTTCGGATATCCGGATCCGGTATCCGAACCGAAGATTTTTGGATATCCGGTGTTTTTTCAGTTCCGGATATCCGGATCCGACAACCATATTGATGGAAGATGCAGTAGAATTTATATCCAAGAAAAAAGTTTAGATTGACAATCAAACAAGATGCTGGAGTATTTTTAATTATTCATATTATTATTTTTGAAGGTTAACACAACATTTGCCTAGATCTCTTTATCCCAATTTCACTCGAATATTCTAGCTATAGGGAAGAGTAAATCCCTTTAAAATGTTTTAGACGTGAAGATTTAAAGTTTAATGTATAGCAAGTATATCCGAGAAAATCTAAGGAGATAGGGCAGCTAATCCGAAAAATTAAGCAAATAACTATTGCATTTTGGCACGGTTATTGGACCCTTAGATATAGATTAAATAATCAACAACTATATTTCTGGTAGGGCTTAAGAGGATTTAGGCTAATACTGGAGGGTATAATTTTGATAATTTTTTGAGGATATTTAATACATAATTATTATATTTTAAAATAATTTTAATTAATGTTTATAGAAATTAAATTCTAAGCTTTTAAGTACCCCAAAATTTTTATTAGAAATTTATTTGTTTAAATGTTAAAAAAATTAAAAATTAAAAGTCAAATATTAAAAAAAATTTTTTTTAAATAAATTCCCAATAAATTATTTTTTAATTTAATATAATAGATTAAAAACTAAAAATCATTTTATTTAAAAAATAGATTTAATAATTTGAATTAGTGGGGTAATCACAGAAATTATCTCAATTAAAATTATCTTAATTAAATATTTATGGCTCTACTCCAGATTATGCGTCCAATGAAGTTTATGAGTCCAATCAAAAAATAATTGGATTTTTCTTGGTATTGCAAAGTAGGGGTACGGTTCCAAAACATTTCTTCATGTTCGGGACGTACACTCACTGGGTCTCGCTGGGTCTCAAAGATTCTAAACAAACAAAATAATATCTTTTTTATGAATTAAAAATTGGCCAAAACTAAAAATGGAAGCCAAAATGACCAAAAGCCAAAATTCCGCGCCAGCAGGAGCCAAAAATATATTTAAACAAGGATTTATTAGAGTTTGTGAAGACGGCTTAACAAATGCATAATATAATATAATTTTGCTGACGTAAATGAATTGAATAAAATTATTTTAAATATTTAATTAATTATTTTACTTAATATATTTAAAAAATTTAAAACACATTTGGTTTCCAATCCTCTAGTAAACCACATTTTCTTTTACTTGATTAGTGAGGGTGCTTTTATTTTTCAATGCAGAGTGTGGTCCTATTAAAGAATCTACTGTATTTATTTTTTAGCATTTACGATATTTTTTGCAAACCTGAATTAGAATCCTCTATCAACGTTTATTTCCTGGTAGTGTGTTCGGCTAAGTCTAGTTTTTTAGTCCAATGAAAGTTTATTAGTCCATTCGAAGTTTATGAGTCAAATCAAAAGTTTTATGAGCCCAAACATAGTGATAACGTTGTCGGTTCCTGGAAATTCTTCGGATATCCGAAACTTACCCGAACCGAAAAATCCTCAGTTTTTCGGTTCGGTCCAGGCAATATTAAGAAAAATCCAATTACTCTTTGATTGGACGCATAAAGTTTCATTGTACTCATAAACTTTCATTGGACGGATAAAAGTCTATTGGACGCATAAATTGGAGTATGTATGTATATGCTATTAAAAAAATTTTTTTTTGAATTTCACAGAACTCTGGAAAATTAATTTATGTACATACTAAATTAAAAAAATATTTTTAAAAATATTTCCAAATATATTTGATAATTTTAATAATATAAAAATTTATTGAACTTAGTATATTTTATTTGCTTAATTAATTATAAATATATTACAATAATTATTTTTCTTTTTTTCACAAATATTTTTAATTTAATTTAATCTTCTTCATTAATTTCTTTAATAATTTTCTCATAAATTTCCTTTGCTGCATCCTGACCCCAAATAAAATCTAAATGGTTAAAATTGGGTAACTCCTTTGCTAATTTAATATTTTCTTGGGGAATTTGTTGAAGAATTGTTTCCTTTTAAAAAATTAATTATCTTTCAATATTTTTCAATACCTCAACATCTTTTTTAGTTGCCAACCAATCTGCCTCACTATAGTACAAATAAATGGGGATATTTGCTATATTAGTCAAATTGTAGAGTGGTGGTGTGTTCTGAATGAATAAATATAGTAAGAGAGACCTCTCTGTGGATCTCCTCTATTTTGTAGACCCTCACTTTTAAGTAAACTTCTTACTTAATCTGGGTGAGTACGGTTACAGGTTATCTAAGGGCTAAAAGATACCCTGATACTCCCAAGCATAATGAAAGCTTTTTCAATCCTAAGGATGTACACTAACAAATAAGGTTGGCGGATTCTGGGAAATCCCCAGATATCCAAAGCCGATTTCCGAACCGAAGATTTCAGGATATCCTTTTTTCGGAGTGTACAAATAAGTGAGGTCTAACTATATTTTTAAAATTAGTAAATTTTAAATTATTTTTTACTTGTCCATAATGTTTCTGATTTGCCCTTTTCGACCCGTAATTAAATTTTTGCATTAAACCAGAATGATGCATTTGAGCCTAGTATTTTTAGATTTATTTTTAAAATTACTTTTATTTATTTACCCAATGAGCAATATTTCTTGTTGAAGTTCCTGCAGGTGCATGAGTTGAGTAAACTGTTACACGAGTCTTGAAATTTAGAAAATCAGTAGTTATTAGTGGAAAAAAACAAATTGGCATAGCACAGATTTACAGCAGCGATGGGCCGGGTTATCCGGAATCCGATACACGATCCAAATAATTTTCGAAATCCCGATCCGAAATCCTTCCGAAATTTATTTCTAGACGGCTCTTCCCTCCTTTACAGCACTGTCATTAGAGTTGTGGCGCTGCCTCCTTCCGTGGTGCTGTCTCCCCGAAAATTTATCCCCGTGGCCTTCCCCCCGTCGGGGAGCAACCCTTACTTTCATGTAAAGCAAGTCTCCTCTATTTAGGTATATATTTCTCCAAATATCAATACCTGATTCATCTGTTTACTATCAGTTCCACCAATTAAAAACATAATATTTTTACAATTTGGTTTTTGCCAATTTGCACCGCAAAGGGTTCGGGCAATTTGCTGTGTTACAAAATTACTTGGAAGAAATTCATTTGAACCAAAATGTCTATTCAGAATTTCCAGTTGAATACCAAACAATTTTCCTGATATATCAATTAATCCTTTAATGTACTTTATTGTGGCAACAGGTGCTAAGGCATAAAATCTGCTAATCTATTAACAAAAAAATAGGGGGAGGGGATTAATTAACAAAAAACTTTATCAACAAATTCTCGATTGTTATTAGACAATTGTGCAAACATAATTAAAGTTCCTTGACTGTGTCCAACATAATATAATTTTGACTGTCCGCTAACTTCCAAAGCTTTATTTATCATTGCCGGCAAATCTATGGAGGACATCTTGTCCCAAGTAAAATCCCAGTATTTATCGTCTAGTCGTGAAAGTTTTTCGTGATCTTTCGAGTAAAGATTCCCTCTCATATTTCCCATCCAAACATCGAATCCGGCATCTGCCAACAAAAATGCTAGCGATTGGTGGGGCAAATTGGATACCTATTTATAGGGAAATTATTAATTAGAAATATAAAGATGGGTGGGTCATTTGTGAATAGTTAATGGAACTCAATTTCCTCGGAGAAAAATACGATGAGAGTTGACCTACAAGAAAGTTCAACTATACTTTTAGATTTTAAGACATGTTATATTGTAAGGACAATTCACCTAGCAGCATTTAAAACGCGTAGGCAGGGATTAAACGATCTAAAAGGATAAAGAAAAGCATTAGTCGATGCCCCGGTAGCCTCGATGCCCTGTATTTGTTTGAGACAGGCCGAGCGAGCACTGTCAGCGTTGTTGCAGGATCTAATCCTGCCCGGTGGCTAAACTTTGCTAAACTCTTTCTATATTATGATTTATGGTGTTTCTTTTGATGTAAAAAAGGAGGGGGGGTTGTTAATATAGATGGGTAAGTGAATTGTAGAAGGGAACTTATGAAGAAAAATTAGAATTGGAGGAAATTGGTGTCCCGAATTTTGAATCTAGAAGGTCAAGTTCCTTAAGTATAGTCCAAACAAGCAAACTCTTACCAATCAAAACTGGAAGCCCTTCTTTTAAAGTAAAAAGGGGGAGGGGGTTTTTAATATACATAGATGGGTTGATGTATTATAGAAGGGAAACTTATGAAGAAAAATCAGAAATAATTGGAGGAAATTGGTGTCCAGAAACTTGTCTTGGAAGGTCAAGTTCCTTAAGTATAGTCCAAACAAGCAAACTCTTACCCAATCAAAACTGGAGGACAACAATCCGTGCTGGGCAAAAACTACTTTTTTAGGCTTTTTCTGTTCTGTTTCATTAAAATTCCGGCCAAAAGGGATTCTATGCATTTCCAAAATATATCCATCTTCTGTTATAACTTTGTGTATTTCACAAGTATATCCATAATATTTAATTATTCCTGGCTGTTTTTAAATTAATTAAAAATATTTTTTAAAATCATTTCTGACCACAGTTAAGCGTTCTTCCGGTAATTCTTTTCTTAACGATATTTTTTCTTGGGATAAAACAAAAGAAGGATTTAAAATGAAAATTATTAAAGAAATTAAAAATAAATTAAACATTTTAATTAATTTATTTATTCTGATGATACCCTTTAAATTAAAAAAAAATATTTTTTTTGTTTAGAAATTTAGCAGAAAAAAATTAGGAAAATTAATTATAAATGCATATTAAAGACTGTTTTTTCTAGAATCAGACTTTCAGCCGATCCTTGAAGCTGAAAAGTTGTCTGAAATGAGAACTGAATCTTGAACAGGGTTGTTGATTCTTGGAAAATCTTCTGATATCCGAAACCGAACCGAAAACCCGAACCAAAAAATCATCGGTTCTTCGGTTCGATTAGGCCAGAACCGACAACCTAATCTGGAATTATTTTTGGTTAAACTTTTAAATATGAATTCCCTAACTATTGCCTACCCTTTATATAATAGAATTTTTTAAAGTATTTGTGTAGGAGGGGGGGGGTATTTAAATTTTTAAATGTCATCCTTTTTAGAATAAGGAAGTAATTTTTAGCAAGAAATAACATTTAAATATTTTGTCTGAATTTTTTTATTTAATTCAAATTATTAGTCAAAAAGTTTATATATTATTCATTTTTATGCAATCGAATCTCGTTATTCAACTCAGTTTTTTGTATTTTTTAAAATGTGTTTGGTAACTGATTGGAAGGGAAATGTCGAAGCATTTTAATGTGCAACTTATTCTAGTCTAAAATTTCAAGTCCCCAAAGGACGGAAAACTATAAGTTCGGAAAAACTAAAATTTTCAAAAATTAATTTGGTACAATCTTCAGTTAAATTGTATCAATCAAAATACAAAAATCTAGAAAAAATAAAACATCTTCAATTAATTAAAGTCGAATGAATGATTGACAATTTAAGAAATTGTACAACTAAAGAAATTTAGGGGATTTTCTATTAAGGCTTTTTATAGATGTGTTATAGTAATTTAGGGTTTAGTACATATAATTGAATTAATTAAAGATAGACGAAAAAAATATACCTATTTCATTTAATTATTTTTATTCTTTTATATTACTTAGATATATTTCTTTAATTTTTATTTTCAAAATTAATTTCCTTGTTTGATAAAAACAAGGAAATATTTAAATTTACGTCTATTAAATATACTCAAAATCCATTCAATATCAATTTAAAATTAATTTAGACAATAGTTATTTATTTATATTTCTAAATAAAAACGAGGAAATAATTTGTTAACAAAATCTAAAAATGATAAACAAATATTAATCTAAATAATTTTATATAAATAATTTTTAATTATAAAATATTTTTAAGAAAAAAAATTTTTGTATTTTTTTTTGGATTTTAAACAATTAATTAAATATTTGAATTAAATTCACGGAATATTTTAGTCATAATTTATTATTTCTTTAATTAAATAGGCAATTTGGACAGACACGGAAATTGTCTACTAATGTAAGCATGTCGTCTAAGCAAGGTTTGTGAGAAATTGTTTAAATGAATTTAACTTTTTTGTTGATTATTTTCGGCTTGCCGAAATTGTTGATTTTATGGCGCAGTAATTGAAGATTTTGCAATGTCAAGCTGCCACAGAATGAAATCAGAAAAGGCTTTTAAAAATTTTGGAATATCCCGAAGGAGAGTTGATCCATATTTCAACCTCAAATTTTTATTAAAGTAATGTTTATTTTATTGAATTTATTTTATTTTGAATAAAAATATCAAATAGTTTTTGTGTTTGTTTATTAAATAATGTTGTAGTTTGTCCATATTAGTTTGCTGTATAGTTTGTCCAATCCGTAAACCCCTATTTTTTGGTGATGGATATTGGTGTCTGTAATTTACGAACTATTCATATTTTTGGCCTTCTAATGGTGAACTCTTAATAGCCAATGAGCATATATTAATTTATAAATAAAAAAATAAAGACAAATGATAGAATATTTGTTCCAAAAGTCTATAATACATATATCTGAGGAGCTTTTTCAATTTCTTTTTCCCCCAATTATTCCGTCTCAGTTTCTTCGCAATCAATTGCTCATCTAAAGAGCGGTGGTACATGTGTCAATTGGTATATGATTTTGGATAATTCGGAGAAGATCCTCATTATTTTGGATGCTTCGGCGAAGGATGCTTCCTCGTTAATTTTAGTTTAAGCTCAGTTCTAGTTATGAACAGACCTGGTCACGGATACTGATCTTGGTATACGCACCCGCATATTTACGGTGGATACAGACTGATACAGGCGGATATTCGGAGGCATTTTGATATTATCCATGGGCAGTTCTGGTTATGAATAACTTTTTTCTTTATTGACGAATATTTCTAATCACCAAAAACCGCCAATCCTTCAATCCTTTTTTTGTTTACTTTATTTTATTAATAATTTTACGATTTTTGATTTTATTTTTTAAATTTTATTATTCTAAATTTACACAAAAGCCACATAAAATTTACACAAACAAAATAATAAAAAGATTTTTGTTATTAATTTTTGTCAGCCTAAAAATCAACAAAATATATTTTTGGTACACTTTTTTGTTTTTGCCAACATTTAACTTAAAAAAAGTTTTTAATTTTTGCTTGTTTAAAAATATTATAAAGAATAAAATGTAATAAAAAATAAAAATATTTTATTAAAAAATATAAAAATTTTGTTTGTCAAATATTTAATTCATTAAATCGCCTACTTTGTTATATATTGTTGTGTATTTTAATCTAAAATTCATCATTTAATATATTTTATTTTATAAAATTAAACAAAATTTTATTTAAGCATTAAAAATCATTTGAAAAATTTTTTAATAAAATTTTAAAATATTTTTTAGAATCAAACTAAGGGTTGTTGACGACCAGAGGTAAGTCGGGACAGTCTGTTGTATCGGAAATCGGAAGGAAAAAAACGTCGGAAATCGGAATTCCGACCCGCCTCTGTTGACGACTGATTTTTAACCTGTACCCCCGGTTTTCGGGTAATCCAAATTTAGAAACCAGGATTTCGGTTTTGAGTTTTAGGCAAATACCGGTTTTATTTTGGGAGAATTTTTAAATAAAATCACTCATCTTCACAAAGTTTCCGGATTTCGTTTTCTCAAAATTTTCCAAAAACGGTTAATTTTTGGCAAAAAAAATTTTAAAAATTCGTGGTCTAAAACCGGTTGCTAACAACCCTATTTTAAACATTAAAAACCATTAAAATATTTTTTTTTAATTTTAAAATATATTTTTACAGATTACAAAAAATAATATACCTAATTTTTTATTCAAAAAAATGTCCTTCTTCTTCAATTCCAACAAAATATATTTAATAACAATTTTTGTTATTTTTCTCTCAACTTTTTTATATTTTGAGGAAATCCAAGCATGTATTAAGAATGCACCTGGTTATGAAAGACAATGTGATCCAGACAGAGGTGCTTATGATTGCTGTAAGGGAAAATGTACTAAAGAAAGTGGATGGTATTGTGTTTAAAAGAATGAAGCTAAAATTAAATTTAAAAGAGAATTAAAAATATTTGGGAAGAATTAAATAAATTATGGAGAATTTTAATTAATAATTTTTAAAATATTTGATAAAAATTGATAAATTCAAATTTCAATACAAAATTTAAATTTTGGCTTGAATATTTATCTAATATATAAAATGTAATAAATATGGGTTGAAATCAGTGATACAAAAGTTCCAAAATTTCTCTGGAACCGGATCCATTTCTGGAACCGGTTTTTAAATCTTGGCGGTTCCAGTTCCAAACCTGTTCCAGACCTTTGCCGGTTCCACGGTCCCAGTTCCGGAATTGGAACTGGAACTTTTGCATCACTGGTTGAGATCTACATATTTGATAAAGATGAGTTTTGAATATTTTTGATTCTGAAATTTACGGATTGCTATTGGTAAATAATTGTTCTAACATAAAGTAATTATGCCTGAACGATTGGATCTGATGGAATATAAAATTTATATTCGTTTCCCCTTGTATTAGTAAATGTCTATAGAAAGAGTTTGCAAAAGTTTAGCCACCGGGCAGGATTGGAACCTGCGACCACCTGCTAGTTGTTCTAGGCGCTTTCGCTCACTATATGCAGGAGTTACCGGGGCATCTACTAATGCTTTCTCTTTTTCCTTTTTAGATCGTTTATCCCCCGCCTAAGCGTTTTAAATGCTGCTAGGTGAATCATCCTTACACTATTAAAAATATTTTTGACCCTTATAGGCTGTATTATATTTTCATTTTATACTTTTCTGAAAGCCCTTTAAGTCTTCTATAAAACCACCAATTTTCATTTTTTGGAAAATTTTTTCTTTTGAGTTGTATTGGATTGAATTTTAAAGGAGTACAAAAGGTAGTTTTAAGGGTAGATTTTATGTCTGTGATGCCTAGTGAATTTAACTCTCAATAATTTTCAAGCAAAATTTTTGATATACATAAAGGTTTCTTGTAGCAACTTTAAAATGGCTTTCAAAAAAGTATAAAATTAAAATTTAATATAGCCTATGTAAAAAGAAAAGTTTGAGAGATGAAAATTCCATAAATCAAATCTGCCATCCTTTTTTTATTAAAATTTTTAAATTTTCAATTTTAAATTTACACAAAAGAATACAAATATGTACATACTATACTAAAATAATATAAGAATTTACGTTAGTAATTTTAGCCAAATAAAAATGAAAATTTATTTCCGAGAGACTTTTTTTCCTTTTTGCCACCATTTAGCTTAAAAAAAGTTTTTATTTAATTTTTGTTTGTTTAAAAATATTAAATTTACGTCAAATGAGGAATTAAAAATTAAAATAAAATATTTTTTTAAAAAATTTTTAAAAATTTGTTTGTCCAATATTTAATTAATTAAATTAAAAATTCTGTATAAATTGATTTCTATTTTAGTTTAAAATTCATTATTTAATTTTTTAATTTAATATTTTATTTAAAAAAAATTATTAAGCATTTATTTAATAAATTTACAATCTAAAATTAATTTTGTCAAATTAAGTAAAGCAGCTAGGCTATAAATATTTCTTTCTCCTTCAGCTAGTGTAAGCTAGTCGGCGGCTGAGAGCGAACCAGCATCTTCAGTAGACAGGACTGATGTGTTACCTATCCATTTACACCATCCGCCTCATGCTAAGCTTTAGCGATTAAAGTAAGAGCTTTCGCTCACCACCACGTACAGGTGCTCTACCAACTGAGCTACCGGGATCTTAAACTTCCGCCTAGTGGTACCGGGATCTTAAACCTCCGCCTAGTGAGCGTTTTAAATGCTAGCCAGCTAGATCTTTCTCTTTCTTACATTAAATATGCTTTACTTACTGAAGATGCTGGTACCTCCCAGCCGCCGAATGCTTTACATTTAATATTTTTTAGATTCAAATTAAAAAATGTCCTTCTTCTTCAATTCCAACAAAATATTTTTAATAACAATTTTTGTTATTTTTCTCTCATTTTCTGTATATTTTGAGGAAATCCAAGCATGTATTAAGGATGCCCCTGGCTATGAAAGGGTATGTGATCCAACAAGAGGTGCCACTAAATGCTGTAAGGGTACTTGTACTAAAGAAAGTGGTTGGAAATGTGTTTGAGGGTTGGAAGAGGAAAAGGCTGAAGATATAACTGGAAATTAGCTTATTGAATATACGGCTAAAAATAAATATTTAAATTGAAAAAATAATTTAATTGGAAGAATTTTGGGATTTTAACTGGAATTTTTAAAATATTTAATATAAATTGATAAATTGATTAATTTCAATATATATTTTAAATTTCGGTAAATATATTCAGTAATTATTTAAAATTAAAGAGGATTTGGTGAATATGGTAGATATTTATTGTTATGAAGGATATTATCAAGAAATATTATCCTCCGTTTAGTATACCTCAGTCAAATGGTACATACATATATCGTTGGGTCTTCTTGAGCTTCACAAAAAATAATTTTATAAGAAGAAATAAAGCCCCCTTTGGGGAGGGGGCTTTATTTTAAAATAAGCCCCCTTCCCTCTTAATTCCCTCAAATCCCTCGATATCTCTCTAAATCCCTCTATATACACGTCATGTTAATCCTTCAAGATACCCTTCTGAACCCTCTATATCCCCATATGGGGATTCAACTGAGGGGATTAAATTATTAATCAACAATTACTCAAAAATTAAATATTTTTGGGAAGGGGGCTTATTTTACAAGGGGCTTATTTTAGATAAAATACGGTATATGAATAAATTTGAAATTTGAAGTTTTATAAGGTATAAGGCTCTATAATTATTAAACAAATAAAATTTAATTTTTATTTATTAATTTTTTAATTTAGATGAATTAATTTAATTATTCTCATAATTAAATAAATATAAAAATTAATTGAGTTGGATTTTTTGCTTTTAATATAATTAAACAAAAAATAGCGCTGACGTTATAATATGGAGTAAGAAACTAAAAAATACCTAATATGTACTTATAGGAAGAATATGAATGAGCAAAAATAGCTCATCATCGGATTTAGTTTGCGGCATAGTCGTTGTACTTCGGCCTGAAATCATTCCTTGATGGTCCTATTCGATCGATCATCCGATGAATTTTCCACTAATAACAGCCCTGATCCATATTTCTGGCCTTCTAGTGTTGAATATTAATTTATGAAACAAAGCATAGAATACTCATCCCAAAAGATTTCCCCAATACAGTTGATTAGCTTCTTAATTTTTTGTTCTTTTTCACAAATTTTTCATCTAAAGAGTGCTACAAGTTGTCTAAGCTCGATTAAACGTGTATAATTTGTGAGGATTCGAACGGGTACACCCCAACGTACCGCACCGGGACGCCCTGATATCTCGTCGAGATGCATCAAAACATAACAAGGCGTCCCGGATTCGACTTTTTTGAACAAAGTTATAGCACTGCGGTACGTTGGGCTCGCGGTACGTTGGCCCGCTCCCGATTCGAATTAATCTAGTCTATAGTTATAATTGACTTTTTCCTTTATAAAGAATATTACTAATTAAGAGAAAAGTTTGGGAGATGAGAATTCCGTATTCCAAATCTGCAATTCTTTTTTTAATTAAAAATTTAAATATTTTTTCATTTTAAATTTAAACAAAAGAATACAAATCGTATATATTTAAATCGTATAAATATACAAATCGTACATACATATATATACAAATCATACATTCAATACATAAAATAATAAAAGAATTTACGTTATTAATTTTTATCAGTTTAAAAATCAAAAAAATATTTCAAAAACTTTTTTCTTTTTGCCAACATTTAGCTCAAAAAAAGTTTTTATTTAATTTTTGTTTGTTTAAAAATATTAAATATACATAAAATAGAGGATTCAAAAATTAAAATAAAATATTTTTTATATAAAAAATTTAAAAATTTGTTTGCCAAGTAGTTAATTCATTAAATTAAAAATTCTGTATAAATTGATTTCTATTTTAGTTTAAAATTCATTATTTAATTTTTTTAAATTTAATATATTACTTCAAAAAAAATTATTAAACATTTATTTAAATAATTCACAATCTAAAATTAATTTTTGGAAAATTTAAAACTATTTTTTTTATTTTATAATTTAACTGAAGCAGCTAGGTTATAGCTTCAGCAAATGTTATTCGGCCGCGGGAAGGGAACCAGTATCTTCAGTCTAACGGACCTCATGCTTAGCTTTAGGGATTAAGTAAGAGCGAGGTAAAAATATCAATCCCGGGCAGGCTTCGATCCTGCGACCTCCTGGCAATTATTGCTAGGCTCGCTCACCACGTACAGGTGCTCTACCAACTGAGATACCGGGACGCTGCTTTCACCATCTCTTTTAATAGATCTTAAACCCCCGCCTAGTGAGCGTTCTAAACGCTAGCCAGCTGGATCTTTCTCTTCCTTACATTAAATATGCTTTACTTACTGAAGATGCTGAATGCTTCACATTTACACGAATGCTTTACAATTATATGCTTTAAATTTAATATTTTTAGATTCAAATTAAAAAATGTCCTTCTTCTTCAATTCCAAAAAAATATATTTAATAACAATTTTTGTTATTTTTCTCTCAACTTTTTTATATTTTGAGGAAATCCAAGCATGTATTGCAGATAAACCTGGTTATGAAAGGAAATGTGATCCAAAAAGAAAGGCTTTTGATTGTTGTAAGGGTAAATGTACCAAAGAAAGTGGTTGGAAATGTGTTGGAGGTTTGGAAGAGGAAAAGACTGAAGATATAACTGAAAGTTCGCCTACTGATAAATAAATGACTAAAAATAAATATTTAAATTTAAAAAATAATTCATGTAATTGGGAAGAATTATAAATAAATTATGGGATTTAACTGGAATTTTTAAAATATTTAATATAAATTGATAAATTTTAATTTTCAAAATAAAATTTAAATTTCGGTAAATTTCTTGATTACATATTCCTTTTTTAGCATAAGAGTTACTTTTAATTTTTTTAATCCAAAACTCTTTGTTTTCAAAATTATAGAAATATTAATTAAAGAAGAGTTTAGCAAAAGTTCAGCCACCGGGCAGGATTCGAACCTGCATATAGGAGCTCTACTACTGAGCTACCGCTATTAGATTTCTCATCCAATGTATCTTTCCTCTAATAACTAAGTAAATTAATTTAAACCTTAAAGGATATAAATATATACCGTATTTTTTGTATTAGAGCCCCATGGGGCTCTATTTTTCAACTATCCTCCAAAGTGGGGCTTTATTACAGCGTGGGGCTCTAATAGAGCGTGGGGCTCTATTTTTCAACATATTTTTGAAAATAGGTAATAGGATTTCAATTATAAGGTTAACTATATTTATCAAATCAAATAAGATTTAATCACAAAAACAAATTTCAGCATTAGGATAATTACAAAGTGGATAGTTGCGCGTGCACAGTAATTCGCGGTTAAGTCATTTGATTTGGATTTAAAGTCAATTTTTTTTAATTTGTGGAAGGATCGAATCCTATCGAGCATTTGAATGTTCGATTTTATTTTGCTTCAGTCCGCATGGTTCATTCCTTCGTGTGTATATCTAGTTTAGTCCCAATTGATGGATATAGATGTGAGCAAAAAGTTATTTGGGGATTAATTTTGAAATCGGGAGACTTGGGGAGTATCAATGATTTGGGGATTAATCGGATATCGGAGGATTTCTGAGATGAATCTGCTGATAACTAGGCTAATCTCGCCATTATCTATGCTTACCAGTATATAGAAGAATCTCCTAATATCTCCTATAACGTCCAAATCCCTTCATTGGAGAGAATCATATATATGGAAGGAATATAAATATCAATAGATTAAGAGTGATTTTGGGAATATCAGTCTACGGATTGTTTTTAATGTTATTGACATACAAAGAGATTTTCGAGGAGATATCATGAGATTAGGCGGAATATCTGGTAATTTGTATGGATTAAGTTTGGTTCAATGGATATCGGCAGATTAAGGTGTATTAATCCATAAATAACCTCTTAATCGCATATACATAATCTCTAACATTGGCACAGAACATTAAATAAAAGAAAAAACAGTATAATATTAAAAATTAACAATTTATTATACAATAGGTTAATTTTAAAAAGTGGGGCTCTATTTCAGCGTGGGGCTCTAATACAGCGTGGGGCTCTATTTTTCAACTATCCTCCGAAGTGGGGCTTTATTACAGCGTGGGGCTCTAATACAGCGTGGGGCTCTAATACAAAAAATACGGTACTTTTTTAAACTTTTAAAAATTACAAAAAGTTTGAGGGGGGATTAAATATACTTTAACTTTTTTATATTTATTTTTAATTTTTTTTATTGCTAAGTAGACAGATTTAATATAAAACTTTTTAAAAAACGGGGAAGATTAAATAAGCTTCCAAGTTGAAGCTTTAAAACTTGTTATTAAACAAGTTTATTTAATTCTAATTGCTTCAAGTTTATTTTTATATTTTCAAAACTTAATTTCAAGTTTATTTAAATCAAAACTTAATTTCAAGTTTATTTAAATCAAAACTTAATTTCAAGTTTATTTAAATCAAAACTTAATTTCAAGTTTATTTAAATCAAAACTTAATTTCAAGTTTATTTAAATCAAAACTTAATTTCAAGTTTATTTAAATCAAAACTTAATTTCAAGTTTATTTAAATCAAAACTTAATTTCAAGTTTATTTAAATCAAAACTTAATTTCAGGTTTATTTAAATCAAAACTTAATTTCAAGTTTATTTAAATCAAAACTTAATTTCAGGTTTATTTAAATCAAAACTTAATTTTTCTTTATTAAATTTTTCTTTTATGCTCTATTGAATTTGTAAGTACACACAAACACTAAGAAAATATTTTTTACTTCCTTTTAAACTTAAAAGTGCGTAAAATAAGTTTGGGGGTAATATTGGCAACACACTTCCACTTCCTTTTTATTTTTTATTAAATTTATTTACCTCCCTTTTTAATTTTTATAAAATAATATTGTTTATCGGGTTTTTAAAAAATTTTTTTAGATTTAGAAAATTAAAAAATTCTTTCTTAAATTTTACTTAAAGGTTTTAACTACTGAGCACCTTTGTAAAGGGAGAGGATGTGCTCGAGACTAGGTATCTTAGAAGACTTCCAGGGTTGATCATGTCCCTTGGACACTTCCCTATGAACTCACTAAAGATTATAAAGCGCTTTATTCACAAACTAGGAAATGTGGACAATAATATATTTTAAATAATATATTTCTACTGATTTCGGGATTTCAAGCCACTGGGTCTTGGAAAGTAAATTGCCCTTCGGGACCTAAAGCCACCGAGTCTTGGATAGTACATTACCCTTTCGAAGGGGAAAAGTTTTATGTTTTAGAACCAAAATTAACACTCAAAAGGTTATCTTTTCTCACAAGAATCCAGATATATATTCGTTCGACACTCTACTCCTCTCTTTCTTTTTTAAATTTATTTTCCCAACTTATATTTTGACAAGTTTCACGTTTTTGACATGCGGAACTACATACTAAATAGCTCTAAATGTGTTTTTGTCAGTTAAAAATATATAATTAAATATTTAAGTATTTTATATTCTTAACATTTCCACGTACAAGTGGTGCTTATAAAATAAAAATTATTTTTATAAACATATTCCTGGAAACATTTTTCCAAAACTGAGTAAAATTGAATATATAATTAAGCATTTTGTAGCAAGTTTATCCTTGTTTTATATTCTTCCTTGTTGCTTCAAGTTTATTTATTGGGTAAAGTTTTATTCTTTTTTGTTATTCAAGTTTATTTTTTTGCTTCAAGTTTATGAAGTTTATTTATTCCCCAAGTTTATTTTCCAAGTTTTTAATATTTTTTCCAAAATTAAACTTTATTTTTCTATTTTGCTTTAAGTTTTATTTTTCATAAACTTTATTTTGTTTCAAGTTTTAAAGTTTCTTTTCTTTGCTTCAAGTTTTTTAAGTTTATTTAAGTTCCAAGTTTTTATTATTTTTTTAAATTAAAGTTCATTTTTCTATTTTGTTTCAAGTTTTGAAATTTTTTCTTTTCTTTGCTTCAAGTTTTAATTTCAACAAATATATACATATTTTTAATATACCCTAAAAACTTTTTCCATTTATTTAATTCCTTGTTTCATTCCAGAAAATCCCCTCCACAATTTTTATTTAATCTTTAACCCTTAATAAAAGGAAAAAAGGAATTTTACTTAATTAATAACTTGAAAATGTATTACAATATGAAATTATTTATACCTATTTTCACACATTTTTAATATTTTTATAAAAATATTTTTTTAACTTCCAAAAATGGAAAAGGCAGAAGAGGACTAAAATTAAAAATATTTTATAAAAATATTTCTTTGGCTTCTTTAGCCTTTAAAATATTTTTAATAAACTTGAAGCATTATTTATAACGTCAATTTTGCTAACAAGCAGAAAAAAAGTTTTAACAAATTAAGTTTTAAAAAAAGTTTATTTTAATCCAAATTTTATATCAAGCTTATTTTTGCTTCAAGTTTATTTACATTAACAGAAATAACAAATAAAGCTTTAGCAAAAACAAGTTTACGTATTTTAATTAAAATTCAAGTTTTATCAAAGTTTTAAACAAAAAATAAATTTTCTAAAAACTTGTTTTAATATTATTGACATATAACAGCTTATTTTTCGAACATTAAATGGGTGATGTGACATTTAAAAAAAGGAAAATTAAATTATTTAAATTTTTATTTTTAATTTTATTTTTAAGTTAAATAAAAAATAAATAAAAATAATTTTAAAAATAAATTAGGCGGCCAAGAAAGAGATAAATTCGTTAATAATTTCCGAATCCTGAACACCTTCCTTGTATTTTTCGATAGAACTTGACTAGTTGATTTGCTTTCGAGATTTGAAACTTTTTTAGTGACGTTATAAACTAGAGTTTTAGACAAATGCCTATTTTTTGGACAATCCTTTACTCGTCTATTTTGCATTATTTTCTGCTTTTTGTCCTATTTTGGCAATTTTCACTGCCTATATATCAGGGATGGGACGAGTTGAGAAAAAAGTCGGGTCGGGTTTTCAAAATTTTCTTCGGATCGGGTTTCGGGATGAAAAAAGCCCGCGTTTCGGGAAAGTCCGGTTCCTTGCTATATACTGCCTATTTATACCTAATTCTAGCTATAACTTGTGTTCGGCACGGTTCAGTATTATCGTGATACTACCTAAGAAATACTTTTTGCCCTCTTAAAAAATTTGTTTTTCCTTCATAAATAATTTTTGCTTCATAAGCTTATTAATATAGTTCGAACTTTTCATAATGCCGGGCCCGGAACCCGGTTTTTTTTTCACAAAATCGCACCCGGACCAGTTTTTCCGGATAAAACCGGAAAAACCGGTTAGCCCGGAAAAACCGGATTTTTTCAGACCCGGGCCCGGACCCGGTTTTTTCTAAATTTATTAAAACATGAAAAAATTATTTATTTAATCAAAAAATCCTTAACTCATCCAATCATTAACTCATCTACACGGCCAAAAAGGGTCAAAACAGTAAATCATAAATATGCACTCCAAGAGCTAGATTCGTGACAAAAGCATAACAGAAACAAGAGTGGACCCTACAAATCTTCGATATCCACCTTAATCCCTTAAATCGATAGATCCGCATTAATCCTCCGATATCCTATTAAAATCACACTTATATCCAAATTCACTTTGGAGTACACCACTTTAGTAATCAATCAAGAGGGATATTAAGCGGGAAAAAATGTGGGTTTCAAAAATTTTTAATATTTTTAAATCACAA